ATCTACTTCCCATCAACTACACATATATCCAGCGTGGCTCCAACTTCCTTTCTTGCTAATTATGTGCTTCACAGTTAAGTTTTTTTTGAGCATTATTTTCTATAATTTATGTTGGAAACCATATAGTTCTATTTTTAAATATGTAATTCGAATATTTTAATGTTGAATTCATAGAAAACTAGCTTAGCATCCTCCCACCCTTACCAGGTTAAGACAGAACTATAGCCCCTTTCCTTCAGGCTTCCTTCACTTACTTATCTCCTGTGCACTGAAGAGAATGTTTAAGTCCTTGAATTCAACTGGATCCACTCTCAGACCATTTCATTATAGTGTTAAATGCCAGATGGGCACTTTTGTTTGTTTGTTTTTTCCTTCAAGTTCATCATGTCTAATACAGAACCCAGTTCTCCCCAACTATAAATATATTTCCCCACCTCATTTCACTTCCTCTATTTCTTCTATTGTTTCTCCATTTCCCCATCTCTCATTTGCCTCTTTTCCAAGCATCTTACTCATCACCAAAAATCCTGCTAAATCCTTTCTCCTTTTTCCTTTCTGCTACTTGATAACCACTTGGATCCTTTGCCTCTCACTGATCTTTCTTCTTCTGTCTCACTCCTTTAATTCATTTACTCCCTCCTATTGCAAAAATATTACTTAACAGTGTTTTCTCCAGGTTATCTGCCTATCCATCAACACTTCGTGTCTCCCATCAGCTATCAGATCAAGTCAGTTTTCCTTAGTCTTGAAATTTATGGCTTTTATGCTTACATTATTAGTATTATCTATTTTTATATAAGCTAATTATATGCATCCATTTCCCCATAAAGTATGTTATTATATGCCTGTCATGTGTCCAGAAATGCCCTTGTTTCTGTAAAGCGTAATGGGATGTTCTTGGGAGGTGATGGTACTACCCACAATGCTCTTTCTCTAAATTTTAAACCATTTTTTAAATCCATGTGTATATATGCATATGTGTGCACTTATGTATATTCAGGTATGTGTGTGGTGGGAGTGGGCAGAGGAAAACCTCAGCTGTCTACTTCCTTTGAGATAGTGTCTGTCATTGGCCTAAAGCTGACAGATTAGGCTAGACTGGCTGGCTAGCTAGTGAGTTTCAGCGATCCTCCTGTCTCTGCCTTTCCTGTACTGGGATTACAAGTAGAAGCCAGCATGTCTGGCATTTTTATGTGAGTTCTAAGGCTGCAACTCAGGTCTTCATGCTTATAAGGCTGAGGTAAAAATGAGCCACACCCTCAGCCTCTAAGCCATTTCGAAGGCATATTTCAAATCTCCCCATCTTGCAGGATTTTTTTCTGAATAAGCAGCATCTTCTCATCAGTCTCTACTCATTGCTGCATGGAGTCACAATTTGGTACTTAGCTATTAGATACTATCTATTCATTTTTCATTCAGCTGTCAAACCTATGCTGAGTGTCAGACACCAAATAGACAAATGTTTCTCTGTGTGCCCATATATTTTCATAGCATGGTATACATAGCAGCAACCCTTACACAACCCTTATCATGTGTGGCATAGGCCAGTGGTTCTCAACCTGTGGGTTGTGACCCCCCCCTAGGGTTACCTATCAGATATCCTGTATATCAAATATTTACATTACAATTTGTGACAGTAGAAAAATTACAGTTATGAAGTAGCAATGAAGTAATTTTATGGTTGGGGGGTCACCACAGCATGAGGAACTTTATTAAAGGATGCAAGCATTAGGAAGGCTGAGAACCACTGGCATAGACTTGTATTAATGTATTTAAACCTCAAAGATCATTGTTATTTGTATCCTCTAGATAGGAAAAAAATCAAATCCAGAAACATTCAGCTATTTTCTTTTTAAAAAATTATTTTAAGTTTTTTTTTTATTCATTTTTAGATACTAACTACAGTTCCCCCTCTCCTCCCTCTTCCTGCTCCCCCATCATCCCTACCCTGCATCCACTCCTCAGAGATGGTAAGGCCTCTCCTGAGGGGTCAACTAAGCCTGGCATATCAAGTTGAGGCATGACCAAGCTGCCCCCTGTCCATATCAAGGCTGAGCAGGGTATAGCACCATAGGGTCAGCTATTTGCTTAAGGTTACAAGGTATAAAGTGACAGAGGTGAGGTTCTAATCTGGCTCTGGAGCCACTTATTAAATGTCCTTTTCTACATGGTTATGTACCAGTACCAAGCCATCTGTGTGTGCCTGTGAAGATAAACACACAGATTCCTTCCCTGCTAGAATTTGTAGAGGTCAAGGATACTGTGTTTTTCTTACTTGTATTCCCACTCCTCGTCCCATTCTTTGCATATAGTAATTTTTGAATAGTTTGGTCTGTTGGTTGTTGGTACTTTCATTAGCAATTGAAGGAGCTGAAAATTTTTATTCGCTATTTTTTTAAATTAAAAATATGATTAAATCATTCCTTCCCTTCCTTTCTTTTATTCAACCCTTCCTAGTCTGTGTGCCCCCCTACCCCGCCCTGGAACTCATGACCCACTTTTCTTGGGATTATTGCTGAGTATTAAATGGCAAATAGTGTTTTGAGACAGAAAGGAAAGAAAAAGAATTCTAGAATAGAATAGAGTACTCCAGAATTATTGGTCATTTAATTCTGTTATCTTTGAGGATAGATTTGTACAAGAAAAGACAGTAATATACAACTCTTAAGAATAAAGTAAAACCCTCCTCACAAAAAGCAAAATAAAAAAGCCCATATTATGATCTCCTGTCTTCTTGCGACCTATTTCCTGGTGTTCATGTCTATTTTGCTTTATTCTCTTCAATACCAAAGTTTGACATTAGGAACCCATAGCTGCATTCCTGGCTTGATATGTCTACTTGAGGTTTTTTGGAGAGCAAAAAGATGAACATTTTACTTGAGTCATAATGCTACAACTATGTAGGTAGCCTAATAAAACCTGATAAGTACATATTTGAAATTTAAAAAACACAGGTGGTAGGTTATTTGCATTTTAAAAGGATTCTTCCCTTCACAAAAAGACCCACTGCAGGGTTCCATTAAACATCCAATTCCTCTTGCTGCATTTATCATACAATTTAATTTACCAAGATTTGATTTATATGCCACCATAAAGGGGTAGCTCTCAAATTTCTGTGAGCATAGGAATCCTGTAAGCAACTGATGTAAATTTCAGATCTTGTCCCAGCCCCTCCCATTTCCACCCCTCCCCAGGATTCTAATTTAGCTTGCTTGGGATGGGGCCCTGCATCTTCACTCTTTATCTGCATTGGGAAGTCCATTAGCTGGAGCCCCATTGGTGGGTTTTCTACCAAGCAGCCTATTTATTCTTCATTTGGGAAATTTACCTACAGTTTTGGATCAGGTGGAATCTCCTATTTGATTTCTACTCCCATTGAAGCCATAAACATCTTCATTCTCGGGTGTATAACTGTTGCCCCCCCCAAAAAAAGAAAAATCCTTTCAAGCACATTATTTTATACTGAGATATCTTTCCAGATCTTAAGTCTTATTTGTCAAAGGTGATGCAGCTCTCTGGATTCATGTATGCTCTGTTCCTGTCACTCTCATGTCTACAGAGCCCAGCCCCCACCCCACATCCTTTCCCAGTTGTGTTCTTGCCCATGATGCTGGTACGTAGGATTTGTCCTAGAAGCATCAGCTATGGAGGAAAGGTTGCTTCTGTGTGCCTCCTTTGGAATCTAAGCTCTTTTCATCTCTCCCTTCTATTCCTTTGCCCTGCAGAATACAAAAAAAAAAAAAAAAAGTGTTTGGGAACAAAGCAAATTGTGAGACTCACCTGCTTTGGCATGATTTCATCCTTCCACGAGTGTTAATCCTGGTCCTGCTGCACTGAATGCCAGAACCTGAGCTTTTAAAATATGATTATAGTTTAATGAAATTTGTTTCAAAAAATAGACTCCATGACATTTATGGCACGTGTATCTATGTGTTTAATATATCACTGATCTCTTAAAAGTCAGTTTCTTGACCTACATTTAGCCTCTGGTTACTTTTCTAAATCTCTAGTGATCTCCAAAAACATTTAGAGATTTCCATACTTTAGAGGGTTTTTTGTCCTTTATTAATCCTTTATATCCCCAAGTTTTGCTTCGAGTAAAGGCTCTCGGGAGTGATCTGGGTTTTGTAAAATATTTTGTGTAATAGAAGCAGCTCAAGAGCAAACAGCCAGTGTAGTTGGCTACTGTGCAGTTGGAAACCTTTTCTGTTAGTAGATTTATCAGAGCCCATGCTTCCCTTATTCCAAGGAGTCCTGAAGAACCTAATTTACCCCCTGTAAGGACTCTCTAGAGGTCCTGTAGGCTGTTTATTGGGACTTTGTGTGGCTTCTTTAACACACTCAGTTCAGGGCTAGGCCTCCCTCATGGAACATGGAAGACATTCTAGAGGAGCAGAAGAGATAGAAGACGAAATGTGGTTATCACTGGTGAAAGTGAACAAAACAGAAATAGCTTGAGGTACTCTGAGCAGCCCTTGCAAGTAAGAAGTGTGCTGACGTGTTCAGTATCACCCAACTTATGTAGAGAACAATACAAAACAATACAATGAATGGCACACTCTGGAAGGTGAGATTTTAACTGATGTTTTCTTTTTTATTCTCCGGAGTTTCCCCTGGTTTCTGCAGTGAACAAGTATTACTGATGCAAGTAATTTGAAAGAAAGAAACTGTTAACCTGATACTTTTGAGTCTCTTTCCTAGAGACCTAATCTTACTAGATCCATCACAAATCCTATGGATTGCCTAGAATAACAATAAAAGAGAAGTCCTTGGTATTATTCAGCAAACAGAAACCTTTTCTTTAGATGGGAGAGGGCCAGCCTTCTCCCATAGTGTGGGGGCTGGTGTTCTGGGTGTGTGGCATGCTAGTGAGTGTGTGCAAGTGTCCTCGCTATACCTCTTTCTGTATAACAACTAAGAGACTGTGCTTTGCATTTCGGATTATAACCATCTTCTCTCCCCTCCCCCTTTCTCTTTTTCTCTTTCTCTCCCCTCTTCAGGCCTTTCCCACCTTATGATGAGTGAACAAGGTAGGTGCTGTGATCCTGCAGATGCCTGAACTGCTTGCCTCTGTGCCTCTGGCTGCTCATTCAGAGCCTCCTCCATAGAAGGTCATTTGCTGCTTGTGCCTCCTGCTGTGGGCCCGACTGGCAGCATGGGCCACTCTGCTGTTGCAGAGGAACACTTTTCCTGACGCATTGTGGTGTCCCACCTTCTACTCCCAGCTTCTCCATTCCTCCCCACCATTTGTCATCTGGGCCAGACGGGCTCCGGCCCTGCTGGGCTGCTTCTAAGAGGGAAGCATGAAACAAGGCATGACACGTTGATAATGGGGGTGAATGAAGCTAATTTCAGAGCAACCAGGCGGTTAACTTCCTCCTGCTCCTCCTAGGCCCCAGGGTGGGGCCCAGCTTGGGAGCAAGGAGCAGGGTTTCTCCCTGAACTTTACTCTGGGTAAAGGTCTGCTTCGTGTTCACCCCTCCATTCCATTGTCATCTTAATGACACTCTGCCCTTCCCTATCAAGATATTAATTAACTCTTACAAACGGGCTTGGTGGTGGTGGTGGTGGGGGTGGTGGTGGTGGTGGTGGTGGTGGTGTTACTGTTTTAAATTTTATATGAAAGAATAAAAGGAATCACCAAAAGAAAATGCTAATGTCCTCGTGGTAGGATTCTAACTCATTATACACCCTGAAGAAAACTGCATATAAAGATCTGTAAATTCAGCATCTGCAACCTAAAATATTCAAATATGCAGGAAATTCAGCTCAGCTAGGCATGGGGTGGGTTGTGAATGAAGCCTTTTTCTCCTAAGTAAAATTTTTCCACATTATCAGCCCAAATCAGGATTTGAGAACTGAGCCCACTTAAAATTGTCTTTTGCTTCACTGTTCAATTGCTACTATTGTGCTTCTTCCAAGCCTTGGGGTGATTGCAAGATTGGTCTACCTTCCTTGCCGTGTCACCAAAAGACTGTTCTTTAATTTTTTCTTATCTGTTTCTTTTCAAAACATACATCAGACTCAATGTTCCTTTCGGAGGATCTGTGGAGGAGTTTCACATATGATTTTTTTTTTCTTGGTCTTTGGAGAGCACACAACCATTTCTCTTCCCCTACTCTCAAATTTGCCTATTAGATGATTTGATCGTCAGGGAGATGCCATCAGATCAAGTAACCATCCAGGGCTGAAAGACACTGTTTCACAGTTTGAGGTGGGCAATTGAGGGCATCCTGAATTAATAAGGCTACTGTTCTAGTGAATTAATAAGGCTCTACTTTTCCACAGCACGAGCCAAAGTGTGGACTTCATAAATTTCAAGACGGTGTTGGTTGCTTTCTACAAAACCAACACCGTCTTGAAATTTATGAAGTCCACAGCCATGCTCTAGGCTAGTATCCCTTCAAGAGAAAAGAAAAGAATTATGCAAACACTGATGCTGTGAATTCCTCCTTTGAGGGGGCTTCAAGAAAAGGTTCAGAATTCTTCTGGGTGATGGTGCCACTAAGGTTTTAAGTTGCTATTGGAGGCTTAATTTGACTTAAGAAAACCCTTTGACTTCATTGCTTACCCTCTCATCCTTTTCCATCTTCCCCTCATCCATTCTTACCCCTACAATTACTATCTTAAAATCCATCACTCCCTTCCCCACCAGGACACCCTGCTTTCTTTTAATCCCTGCACACGGGAGACAGGGGCTTCTGCATGGTTCCCACTGAATCTCCAGAGTTAGTATTTGGTGTCCACAAATACATGTGGTAGTTATGTGTGCTATGTGTGCATCCCTTATACTTGTATGTCACAACTTGGTCCTCATGCCTCATGTGAATGTTGGGAAAACACAAGAGAATCGAGATTCTCAAAGACTTTCCCTAACCATGCTTTTTAAGATTGGGTGTATGTGTACAATTTCATAACCATGTGGATGTGCAGTGCTTGCGCATGCAGACTTTGCCATGTTTCTAAGGGTATAAGTGAGAAGAAAAGAATGAGAAGAGGCTTAAACATGAAGCTGGTGGAAGCAGCTTGGCTGACACTGGCATTTGTCCCTTAAGCCTCCCATCATGCATTTGCTTTGTGCTGCCTCCTGAGGGTGATATGGGGCAGCTTCCTGTGCTGTCTGTCCTGATATTTGCCATGTGTTTTACCTGTCAGTGTGCCTGCAGTGTGCTGATGTGCACTCTCTTTCTCTTGCTCTCTCTCTCTCTCGCCGCCGCCTCCGTGGTGGACACCATGCTTCCTCTCCTTAACTGGATCTTCTGCTTCTTTTCTGTAGGTAGAAGTAAAGGTATAGATCACTTTATTTGTCATTCTATGAACCTGTCAATGTTCATTATTCGTGAATTATTCATGTATTCGAGGGGAACCATTGATTCCCATGAATATATAGGGTGGATTAAAAGTTACTGCTTTTAGCAGCATGTGAAAGAAATTATAAAGCCATTGTAATCGTTGCCCTTCCATGAACCCCGTGTTTGATGTTGGGGATGGTTCTGCCTCCCTATAAAGCCAGCATGAACCTTATGCATGATATCATGTGGTGTCCATCAGAAACAGGGTCTCTGGAAGTAGACATTCGTGTCTTACTCCATTGTAGGGTGTTCTAAGACCCTTCTGGTGATGTTTGTTTCAGACACAGGGGAGAGAGAAAAAGGTGTCTCATAATTGCTGGGTTTTATGCATAGCTGAATTTGGGGTATCATCAGCACCTGGGAATCATAGAAGAGAAAGGAGAGATGATTGGAAAATTGCCTAATTTTACTAACTCTAGATTTTTGGAGTGTTCCTTTCTTATTCTTTTTTCTTCAGTGCTGTAATTTTTGTATTTGTGAAAGATGGAATATTAAGATTACAGGTGATAGGCAAAGAAGGGTGGAACCAGGCAAGCATGAAAAATGTAGAAATAAAATCATGCTACACTGGAAGGAGGAAGAGGAGAAAGAGGTGATGAGGGATGTTGGTGTACAAAGCCAGCCTTTTGGCAGGTGGTCAGGGAAGAGAAGTGGGTGGGCTTCATATAGTTGCCATGTCTTCATACCTTTGGGTGGCTCAATTCACTCATCCATTCCTAAGCTCAGAGATCCTGGCTCAAATTATATTAGTTGTGCTGGAATAAAGGAGAAGCTAATTGATAAATTATAAATATTTATTTCCATCCTGTTCTCTCCTCCTAGATAACTTTTCCCTGTCTTGATGGGCCAGTGCACTGCTGTTTCCCTTAAACGTTGACAAATAGCACAAATAGGGAGAGTAAATTCTAGTGTGAGGATATGGCCAAAAGACAGGGATGTCTTTTATTATTCAGAATGCTCAGCTGAGAACTGGGCATGAACTGGTCATCTCTCATTTCAGTTTTGTGTTCTCTGTACAGCTGCCTTGGGAGTGTTTTGGTCTTTTCCACTTTAAGCTTGGATGGTTGCCTACTCCTTTAATACTAAGTCTGGATGGATTTATTCTCAGAAACTTGCCACCTTGAACCCTCACCCCATTGTTAGATTGACACCTTTGGAAAAGAGTAGGTGGGGAAAGGAACAGGTCAATGGCCAGAGACTTTTTTATAGGTGAAACCACCCATTTGCCCATGACTCAACCTATTGAAAATGTATGGTACTCTTTTACTCCTCTCCTCTCCTCTCCCCTCCATCCTCTTGTCTCTTCATCTTTCCTTTAAAACTGGTGTGGGATTCTGCACATAGAATCTTTCTTTCTGTGAGTCAACTGTTGTCACCATCACTACCAGCTATACTACTGTGTGCTAGCCACTGTGCTCTGTGCATTGTGGGCCTTATCATACTTAATATCCATGATTCATCTATGAGGTCTGTGGTGACATGTCCTGTGCTTAATGGTACTGATAACAAGGCTCAGAGAGATGTTAGGTGACTTCTAAATGAGAATCAAATCCAAAATCAGCATCCCTGACCAGTACTATATGTAACCTGTCTGAGATTCAAGTATGATCTCCATGTACTTGACTTCTGGCTGTCTCTCAGACATTGGTTGGTATTATGTTTCAGCCTGCCACCTTACATTTGCTGTAACATATATCCATATAAATGTCACCTAGTAGTGTCACCACTGTATGTCCAAAGTCAAGCTTAGTGTCATTTGTCTACAAACCAGTTTCCTGTTCCAATGCCCAATCTTCCTTACCATGCGATTGAAACTCCCTTCTAACTTCCTCCTTCCTGAATGTGCCCCCTCCAGGGCAGTCAGTAGAGAGAGAATTCTGGGATTGGCTCTAGAATGTCTTTTTCATCTCTGCCTGCATCCAGAACTTATTAGGTTGTTATCCTTTCCTAGTTTGTTTCCCTGTCACTTTTCCCATTCTGGTCAGCCCATTGATGGAGAACTGTGTAAACTCTGCTGTCTACCACGTGGGATACAGGATTAGCCACCTCACTTTCAGAGCTGTCTGCACTGTGGCCATTTTTCTAACTGAACCTTTTCACTGAAGCTTAGATACAAAAATACTGCTTCAGCCAAACCCACTATCAGCTTCCATGGCAGCCCTGCTTACTTTGCTAGCTCCCCCTTTCTCTTAACAGCCCCTTCTCTCTCCAATCCTCTGCCCAACACACTCACACTTACAATCCCTGTTTTACTTGATGTTGTCCTTGAGTGTCACATGCAGGGTTGAGCTCTCCCCCTCACTCATCTTTCTCACAACTTGTGTTCAACTTATTGGGAATTGGGCTACTCTACTCCATAGACTGCAAATATGCAGAAGACAAATATTTTCATTGGTTAATGTCCAGATATGCTTAGTATAATATGCTGCATGAGGAAGGGATTCAAAGCCCTTCTTATCTTGTCAATAATTCCCCCCAAAGTGAAGAAAATAAAGCAAAATTAAAATTAAATCCACTCATGTAGCTCATCAGCTCAAAAGCTTTTGGCAGGTTCTCATCGAGTCATTGTCAATTTGTTTTCTGTCTCAGGCTTTACATACACACCCACTCTGACCTCTGCCTGTCTGGCAGCCTTCTAAAGCCCTTTATGTCAACCCACATTGCTTTTCCTTTCCTGAGAGCTTTTCTTTGCAATCTCCCCTCTTTCCAGAATGCTTTTAGGTACCCCTTTCTTCTCAATATACTAAAATCCAGTATCCTGGGTCTGCCAAACTTCATGCTTCTGTTATAAAATAGCTATACCTAACTGTCTTGCATGATGCATAGGATGTAGTCTTTTTCAATTATCACGTGCCCACAGAAAGTATAGGTGGCTATGTCTTGGACACTACTGTCAGCCATACTACATGAGCTCAGAATTTGGTCCAGAGCTGTACATGATGGATTCCAATAGAACTGAGTAATACTTAACTAAAGCAAATGGTTGGGGTTAAATATGGGGGCCAAAATAGGTGGAATTTGGTTTTTCAGTTGTGATGTTTTTAGTGGAGTCATCTTCAAATACTCACATCCCTTACCGCTGTCTTTTTTACTGCAACCCACTAAACAAAGGAAAGCCAAGGGTCATGGGGTAAGACCAAGCATTCTGGTTCCAGTATCCACCTCTACTGGGCATTCTCTCTAGGCCCCTTGTATATAAGTATCAGAGGGAAATGGTTGCAGATTATATAAGGCTAAAAGTGAGGAAGGCCTTACATTAATTTTAAGTGTTTGTCAGAGAAAAGAATAGCTATGCCTCAGATCTTGTCATTCTATAAAAGCCCAGTGATAGAACATTAGTCCTGTGATGTTAAATCTATAGAATTGATCAAGGGTTCATACATAATGTCAGTCTCTACATTCAGAAGACCATTGGCTAGCATGTGGCCAAAGGCAAGTGAGGTTTTATCCTGAAGTGGCTGACTAAAGAAGTTCTTCAGAATCATCATTTTCTAGCTTTTCAACATGGCTTCTGTCTAAGAACCGAGAGTGTGTTTGGGTCCATTTCTTTCTATTGTTCATTTGGAGACTGTCTATACTGAGGCAAGTGATCAAATAATTTCCCTTGAAATAGAATTTGGAGCAGGAGCTGACAACTCAGATGTCAGCAGAGACCTCATAGCTACCATAAAGACTAGAACTAGGAACAGGAAGGAAGGGTTAGGTGGTGGTGGTGGAAACTGTGGCTAACTAGAGTACTCAAATCCTGTCTGAGTCAGGAGACCCTTCTCTGCCCCAAATGATTGCTACCATGTAAGAGTATGGCTTCTATAGCACCATAGATTCAAGATATACTGGAAGTATATTTTATAAAACATGTCAGCTCCTAACTTGATTCTTTTCCTGTAGATGATTGTGAGTACACAAAGACTATACATAGCACTTGCCAAATGAGTCAACTGATGAATTACTAGTTTTGACCTATGGCTAGAGAAGAAAGATAAGGGGTAAACTACTTCTCTAAGATTTTATGTTGGATGTCAGTAGTTGAAATGATAAGTTTTCTTTTTGCCAATAGCAGTCAGTTTGGGAAGTCCTTCATTCGCCTCCTGCTACCATCAGAGAGTTTGATTCATGTGTTCTGTGAAGTTTGTTTTGTGGAATGGTGTAGGCGTGTGTAGGAGAGTGTGGAGACTATTGAGAATGAGCAGGAAAAAAGGTAGTTGTCATTTTTTGATAACTGCCAAGGACTGATGAGATGTATATCATATGGGTTGTCATGGATACTCAATTCCTTTCTCTTTTTCCCTACAGAACTCCTCTTACTGGACTAGTTGAGCCAAGCATCTATTCTAGGCCTTTAGATGTTAGAGGCTACTTATTTATTGTGTTGTTTCCCATGTAGATTTGATCATTGGCCTTCTAATGCTGAACTAATAAACACTGGCCAAACTGGAAGGAGATAATCAAGCTCCATGAATTTGAACATCATTTTATATAGGCTGTATTTTTCTGGTAATAACATTAAGGGAGCTGATTTGAAGAGTTGAGCTCCCTGTTGTCCCTGCTAGAATTCAAGAGCCCTGAAAATAAGTTGCTGTCTTGATAGCCAACTATTTATGCAAATTAGCAAATACAATGCCAGCTACTAATTATGAAAATAAACTCATCTGTGCTCTATAAATATCTAATTATAATAAAATAGAGGCAATGTTACATTTCCATCTCTTGTCTCATCTGTTTCTCATCTACTGATTTGTCTTCTTAAAAATGAATAAAATTGCTTTGTTTTTTAAAAGGCCTACTTTCCATGTTCCCCCTCCCCTTTCTGCTAATGTTTTGAAAATCTTTGGGGTAAAAATGGATGTCTTTGAAACATAAAAGGTAAATTCCTTGGTTTTAGTTGTTCTGTGTTTCAGCGGTGATGACTTTGAAATGGTGCTTGAAATATGAAGGG